AGGAGCTGGAGCTTGGCGGGGGCTATCTCCTTGCCTTGAGCTCACGGTACAGAAGGGGGGCTCATGAGAGGCCTCCAGTGAGAGTCCACAGGCTTGCTAAGCGTCACACTTGGTCTTGGCAGGTGACCCCCCACTGGGGAGCCCAGAGTCCTCCAGAAGTGGATGGGGAAGGAAGGAAAGGACAGTGGCCAGTAGCCGATGGCCAGCAAGGGGGCACCTGCTGCCCTCCTCAGGGTGGCGTGATGGGGGTCAGCACCAAGCCCAGGGGTGGTGCCCTTAGAAGTGGCCTAGCAGAGCCTCCTCGGGCTGGTCCTTGGGCCCTGGGAGGGCATACGTCCAAGCCGGAAAGCACACTGCCCCGTGCTCTCAACTCATAGCTGAATTTACAGGCTCAGAAAGGCTACAGTCTTCTATCGTGGTCCACAGAGGGTAAGGGACAGTCTAGGGGGGTTGACTCACATGTCCCATCCCTTTCTCTAAGTCTACCCTTCCACTGGCCAACTGGACACCCCAAAGGGAGGCTGGAGATGCTGTCTGTGGTCCCAGGATAAGCCACTGGACGTGGCCCTCGAGATGGGGGACCCCAGGCTGCAGCAGAGATGCCATGAAACTGGGGTCAAAGGCCACCCTGAGGGAGGGTCACAGGTTACCGACAGTCTCAGCAAAGGGCCAGCTGGGGCAGGGGCCGAGTCCACCCCTGACAGTCAAAGAGGAGGGGGCAGAGACCAGTGGGGCAAGGGTGGAGGTGGCATCAGGCCCCTCCCACCGCACAGCCTCAGTGCTCCACTTCCACCACACAGGAGGGGGCTCCGCCACTTGCAGGATGCTGAGCCGACAACCAGGTTCCAGGCTCAGCCCTCGGGGGGCCAGGACAAGCTCTCGCAAAGCTCAGGCCAGGCCAGGCTGGTTTTACCCAAGCCTGTCACATGCTAGGTCCCCTGGAGCTGCAGGATGGATGTCCTGGGTCCCAGGGTGCTCCTCAGAAGACTGAGCTGGGCTCAGGGCTCTGGTTCCAGGGAGGGTCCTCCAGGGAAGGCCTGGAACCCACCTCCCACAGCCTGGCATCCACACAAAAGCTCAGGACCTCTGCAGTCCAGGGTCCCCAGCTTCTCTCCAGGACTATACCCACTCCCCCTGCTACATCTCACCCCCAAAGCCCTTCACATCTCTGCCTACCTCCCTCAGGCCTAGCCCCAGTTTGGGGGCTCCTGACTGAGCCCCATGATGTTCTTGGGGCCTGGCTCCCACCGCTGCCTGCAATCTGGCTCTCACTGGTAATTGTCCAGGCTGGCTCTGCTCGTGAACCTCAGGAAGACTGAGAATCAGGGAGTCAGTGCAGCAGCAAGCGAAGTCCCAAATGATCCTTCACCCAGACAGCGGAGGGCCTTCCGGGAAGGCAGGGGAAATAAAAGGACCAGAGTCCCGGAAACGCCAGGGGCCCTGCTGTGGCTCAGGGCCCCAGCCAAGAGCCGTGTTCTTCTCAAGCCAAAGAACACCCAGCCCAGAGATGCCGCCTTCTCCCCCTGGTCTTTCTAACAGCCCGAGGATGCTCGGTTCCACCCCAGCCCCAGGCAGGCCTGGTCTCCAGACGCCCAGACAGCCCCCCTCCCCGCCACCACCCTCCTGCCTTTGTGACGTCAGAGCTGGGTTGGGCGCGGCCGCGCATGGACCCTTCTAGGTAAGGTTACTATGTGTCAGGAGCTTCAACCACAGAGGTACTGGCCTCCTGAACAGGAAGAGGCCAAAAGGGAGGGCGCCTGGGGAGGGATGGAGGTGAGACTCACACGTCTGTCTTGAGGCCTTGCATCTGATCTCCTCCTGACGCTGGCGGGGCTGCCAACTCCCCATCAGAAGCACCCTCAGTCAGCCTCCCACGGGGGAGGCGGGAACCAACCCACACGCCAGCCCAGAGAGGAAGGACCACAGGAAATCTCTAGTCCCTCTGAAAACTCAGGTATCATCAGTTCAGCACCTGAAGGAGAAACCTCAGGACCCCAGAGCCCTGGGAACAGGCAGGTGGCTGGGTGGCAGTCGCCCCTGATTCCTTAGCTAGAGCTGCTGGAACCCCAGCATGTGCTCCAGCCTCTTCCTCAGCCCCCGGAGCCCGTCCACGCTGCACCCCCAGACATACAGCAGCATTAAGGGCTTCAGGCTGATGGAGGGCTAGGGGACCCCTTGACACCATATCTCTGATACCATCAGACATCCAAGGAACACATTCCTTTCCAGCAAAGCCCAGGTTCGGAGTGAAGCCCTCCTCCCGGATCCCACTAAAGGAAGGCCCCCTCTTCTGCCTGGAGGGCTCCTCTCTGCCCTCAAGCCTCCATGCGCAGCCCTGCAGAGTGGGGGCCTTGGGCTTTGAGGTGGGACCTCAGCCCTGCAGAGGTCTAAGCCTGGCTCACTGCTTGGGGCTGTGCGCCCCCAGGAGCCATGTGGCAGCCTGAGCCTTCATCATGGGGTAAGATACAGAGGGTGACATCTGCTTCCCAGGGCGAGCAGACCTCCCCTCCTCCTCTCCATGGTCCTCTGCCTCCAGGCCAGGAGGCTGGACCCTTCCCCAGTTCAGTCAATACCAGCCATGGATATAACAGGGCACTGGGGAGAAGATGGGGTGAGGAAGGGTCATCCCACCCGTGACCTCTGACCTTCCCCCACCTGCCGCTCGGCACAGCTCCTGTGGGAATCCAGTCGCCTGGCTTTGAGGTGTTGGGGTATTTTCAAGGAAAGGAGTCCCAACTCCCAGGTAGAGTTTGAGTCCTGAAACAAGGATGGAGACACTCACAGAGGGACTCCCAATCTACTCCTGGCTCCCTGTCCCCCCAGCTGCCCTTTTGGTCCTTCAATGGCACAGGGAACAAGAAGCCACTTCCTCCCTTCCCATCACTGACCTTTCCAGCAGTCCCATCCTAGACCCTCCGCCTGGAAAGAGCAACCAGCTCTTCCCTATCGAACTGCCTCACCAAGCTTCATTTCTTCAGAGGGACCATTTTTCAGAGGACCGCTGCGTGGCCATGAAAAGCCTACGTGATTGTGACCCTCCCTGCCTCCCACTGGCTTCCTACAGAGACGCACATCCTTGGAGCAGAGAACAGATTGAGTGAAGCTCACCAGCTTCCAGAGACCCACAGTGGGCACCCGGGGCACCATCTCTCCAGCTCTTGACCCACCCAATCCCCTGGAAATCCCCAGGTCCAGCTCCTGAGCTCCTGAACCCACTGCTAGGCTCCCCTGAAACCCCTCCACCCCACCCCCACACACACCCCCGCCCCACAGTGTACTTCCAAGGCAGAGTTGCCCTGGCAATCTCACTCCCACCCTCCTTGCTGCATCCTTAGGGAGGCTGAGATGCTGTGGCCTGCAGGTGGGAGAGGCTGCGCTGGGTCCATCCTGTTTTCCCCTGCCCTCCCCTCCACCCCACCCCTGGCTGTTTATTTTGTCACCCCAGGGCCAACTGGGTTGAAGGTGGCGAGGTTGAGGGGTGGGGGTGAACGGTCCAGCCAAGATATGGGCCAAGCTTGTCTCCTGGGCCAGGATTCAGGGGGCACCTCCTGAGCTGCACACTTCCCTCAAACTGTTAGCTGCAGGAACGCATTTGGAGTCTCCATTAACCCAAGAGGGCTAGTGGGCTTGGGAGCAAGCAGGACCGCAATTCCTCCTGGCTTTATAGCCCCATCGCGCTGGGGGCCAAGGCACAGGGAAGTCTGATGCTTAGGAGAACAGTTCCCCCAGCCGAATCCGCCCAAATGCCTTCCTCAGACGCCAGCCGGCACTTCAGTGTCAACCCTTCTCAGCATCCCACCCACTTTGCGGGTCTCCAAAAAGTGGGGGCCTTGTGGGGGGGGGGATAGGCGAGAGCTATCTCCTGAACCCTCCCTATGCCATCCACACCCTTCTCTGGATGGTAGGATTGGGGGGGGGCGGGTCACCTGGCTGAGGTCAGTGGAAGAGAATCTGGACAGGCTCCAGCTCTCCGCCCGGTGTCTGACCCCCACCTCTGCCAAAGAAAAATGCCACCCCCCCAAAAAAAAGAGCAGGCCACCACAGGTCTCACTCAGATGGGGCAGAACCAAGCGATGCCAATCGGAGTTCGATTTTTCGAATAAATGATCACAGAAGAAGCCCCATCTCCCGAACACCAAGCCTTCCCTCCTCCCTTCAGCAGCCTGACTCGGAATTACTGGAACAGTTATCAAAGCTCAAAGAGGAACGGGATCTGTAGGCGCCGAGATGCAGATGAGGGTAGGAATCAGGGGGTGGGGGGTGGCTGTCTCGGAAATGCCCAAAATGGGGTGGGAGAGGGCGGGCGAGAGGGAAGAGGAAGGGGTAGGCGTCCATGGCTGCCTCGACAGGTCCAAAGTCTCCCAGCGAGCAGCCAGCTTCCAACTTGTTTACTTGACGGCGTGTTTTGAGGTTTCCAAACGGAAAGAGGCAAACCTCTCGGCTGGATCGAGAGCAGTCCCTATCTGTCACCTTTTCTCCCGGCTAAGCGCTGCCGCCGCCGCTACTGTCGCTGCCCGGCGCCGCTGCCAGGGAATCGAACCTCGTCTACTTTATTCCACTTGAGCGTGGCCAAACTGTTGCTATTTAGTGGGGGTCCAAGAACCCGATTCACACCCTCGAAACAAGCCGCAGCGGGTGGGGGGCGGGGGCGGGAGCCGGGTCCCGCGTGCCCCGGCCGTTGGGGTCCTCTCGGGGGAGAGGCACATTCACACTCGCGCGCGCGCGCGCGCGCGCACACACACACACACACACACACACGCATCGCCGGATCACGCCTCGCCAAGGCCGGAGTCACCTGGAATACGCAGCCCGGGAGCATCTCCCGAGCCAGAGCGAGCCTGACGCGCGCCCGGCGGGCAGCGGGCAGCGGGCAGCGGGCAGCGGGCAGCGGCGAGCTGGGGCGGGCGGAGGGCCGGCTCCCGGCTGCGGGCCGGCGGGCGAAAGGGAGACGCGGAGCGAGGGGAGAGGCGGCGGGGCTGGGGAGCGGCCGCCTGACTTACATGGAAGTGATATTCCTTGAGATGTCCGTGATGTTGATGCTGGCGTTCCCATTGCTGTTCCCTGAATCCTGCCCTTCCAGGAGCGGGAAGAGGTTCCCGTCGTCCGGCCGCCGGCAATTGATCTCAGTCTTGCTGCAAACACAATTTGCAGGGCAAGCCAACGCGGAGCCCACATAGTCCAGCCAGACGCTTCCCAGCAAGAAAATCCGCCAGAAACTACACTTGGCCGGGCAAAGAGAGACATCCATCTCCGATCGCTGCTTCTAAAAAAGAGGAGGAGGAGAGGAGAGGGGGTGGGGTGGGGGAGTGGGGAGAGCTGGGGGGGGGAGGAAACAAAGACGGCGAGGGAGGGGGGAAGGGGGAGGGGGCCTCTGCCTTTGAAACGCCGTGCGATCAGATGCAAAATCCTTCAGCGTCTGAAACCATCGCGGCCGCCGCCGCCGCCGCTGGGTGGGAGCCGCGGGGAGCGCCTAGTGGCGCGGTCTGCCTGGCATGGTGGCCGGCTCGGCTCTCGCCGGCTCGCCGGGTCCGGGGGCTCGGGAAGCGAGCCGACTGCTCTCCGACTCCGAGACTTTGCAGGGTGGCAACAGACGGTGGGGAGGCAAAAAAGAAAAAAAAAAAAAAAGGCAAAAGGAAAATATGGTGCGAAAGTCACCAAGTCCCACCTACTGGGCAGAATTAAAACGGACACACCTGCAAAATACACACACACACACACACACACACACACTCACACATCCATACACCCGGCGCCGGGAGGAGGAGAAGATGCAGTCGGAGCCGCAGCAGCCGCCGCGAATGGCTCTCCGCGCGCCTGCAGAAATGCACAAGTGCTCCGAGCCTTGCGAAACGCACGGGTTATCGGAGCGTCTTCCTCGGCCCCCTCCCTCTCTCCCCTCCCTCCTGCTCTCCCCTCCCTCCTCGCGGCCTCCTCCACCCCCCGCCCCCCGCCCCGGCTGGGAGCGGCAGGAGAGCGGAATCTCCCCCCTCCCTCCCTCTCCCACTCCCCTCCCCACACCCCGCTCCCTCTCCCCGCCCGTCCTCTCCCCTCCTCCCCACCCACCCACCCACCCACTCGCCGGCTCTCGGCGCTCGCCCGCACCGCCACCCGCAGCCGCGCGACCGCCCGCTCCACGCCTAGCGGCCCGGCGCCCGCTCGCCGCAGGCCAGGGGAAAGCCAGACGGAAGGGAAAAAGTTGCAGTTGGGATTGCGAGGGTCTGGACTGGGGAGGGGGACTTGGCGAGCTGGCGGTGCGACGCGGAAAGGCGCTCTCCTTTCCACTTTTTGGCCCTCGCGCTGCCCGGTTTTGCTGCAATCCGGACCGCGAAAGGAAGTAAAATGAGCGCGGCCGAGGTGACCGGGGAGCGCTCCCGAGCCCGGCCGGGGTTGGGGAGGGGCACAGGCTCGGAGACGGCAATCGGGAGTGCGAGGGCGCACAGGAACCCGAGAGGCGCCCGGGGCCGGGGACCCGCGCCGCGAACGCGCGGTCCTCGGTCTACGCGACGCTCGTTTCCGTAATCTAGACTCCGGGAGCTAGGATCAGCTGGGAGGGGACTGCGGGACATGGCTGGGTAGGTGCCCCGCGCCCCCTGCGCCTTCTTGGCGGTGGGTTTTGCGTCCTTGGGCAGACAGGGAGCTGGGAAGGAAGGAACTAGCAACGAAAGGGCTGCCCTGGAGATCCGAGGTGGCTCGGGGCGAACCGTGCGTGCGAGAAAAACCGCCGGGGAAATTGAGATGCAAGGGGCATTTTTTGGCAAGCACCAAGCCAGTACCGTCAGAGGCCGGCTTCTCGGGGTTCGGCGATCGGATGCGCTGCGCTGGCTGCCGGGCGAGGGGGTGGGCGAGCTGCTTTCTCCGGATTCGGGGGCACAGGACCTCCCTCCCTTCCCTCCCACACAAGCACCCCTTCCTGGTAGGGGAGCAAAGCAGGTGCAGCCTGCCACACGAGCTCGGTCCCCCGCGGGAGAGGAGGCGAGCCCCCGTTTTTCGCCTTGGTAGAGATTTTTCTTTTAATCAAAGGTCAGAATGCCAAGTATGAGATGTTTGCTGAGACAACCGGAGCATTCGCGGTGGGAAAGGAGAAGAAAGGGTTAGGGAAGTCCGAGCAGGCAGACACACTACAGCATTCACACGCAGAAGAAAGCGGCGCTCTCCTCGCCGACTTGGAGGAGGGCAGGCGAGGAAGCGAACACGCTGAATTCAGCTGCATCCAGCATCTGAAAGGATTCTCCCCCGCCCCCCTGTGGATTCCGATGCAGGTCATGCAACTTGCGGGCAAGACGGGGGGATGGGGGAGATGCGGGTGCCACCGGCCCGCCCCGGGCGCAGTCTCAGGCTGGCTGGGCGCCTGAGAGTGGCTCTGTCGCTGTGAGTAAACTTGGAAGCAAAAAAAAAAAGAACGAAAGAAAGAAAAGAACGTGTCTATAAAAGGCAATTCTTCCCGAGTCCCTCTTACATTCCACCTTCCCTTGGCCTCGGTGAGACTTTTACCCCCTGTTGCCAGTGTGGCCTCCTTACCAGACTGGCATTTTGCCCTCCCACCAGCAGGAGGGGACAGAGAGTGGAGACCTCCTTAGACTCTCAAACCAGTTCCTACTGGCCCAAGGCCATCTCTGATAGCCTCCAGCGCCAGTCTGTGATGAGCTCTGGAATTTCTGCTTGAGAATCAGGGAAACTGAGGCATACTCAAAGCTGTCCCTTGGCCTTTTTTCAGGCGGTAGCAGAGAAACAGGGAGAACTTTTCTCAGACCAGATCTGGGGAAAGTCCCATAAGCAGGGTATGCCATGTGGATTTGGCCCTGGCCTGGAACTAAGACAGTTGTGTCTTAAAGGTGCCCTGCAGACTTTTATTGAGAAAGAAATTATTTCTAACACTTCCAGCAGAGAAGGGGCGGTGTCCAAAAGTCAGAACAAATTTAAAACACTTGTAAAAACCTCTTTGGAGATGGTACAAGGGCAGATGTGGAGCAAGGGGCCCTGATGAGACAAGAAGCCTTTCATCCTGCCAGTGTGATGGGATTAAGATGAGGCGTTATGTTTATGATGGAGCTCCAGGCTTCAGCAGGAAGTGGCAACTTAGAAGGAGGCAGGCCCTTTTAAAAGCTGACATGATGGGCCAGGAGTGGAGAGAGCAGAGTTCTACTTGGGAACTCAAGGAAATCACTTATGTATGGCCTCTAGACCTCAGGTTTCATATCTGTAAAAATGACTAGATTGGTCCACGCTGCCCAAAGCGTGATCCTTTGCTAGCAGCATCCATATCACCTGGAAGCTTGGTAGAAATGCAATATCTGAGATACCACCCCAGACTGAGTAAACCAGAATATCCATTTTAACACGCTCCCCAGGTGAGTCATAAACACATTACAGTGTGAGAGGCACTGAGATGACTCCCAAAGTCCCTTCCCGCTTGGATAGTCTCTGCTTCTACATGGATCTGGGTGGAAGGGACTTTCGAGAAAAAAAAAAGGTGGGGGGAGGGCGGTTACAGTGGTGTGACTTCTCAGAATATTATTCAGTTAGGGTGACAAAAACTGGGTGTTTCAGATGTAAGGGTCTTGTCAAAAAACAGACCTGTGAAGTTTCACTACAAGTGCAAGGGAGAATATTCTCATCCTTCATTCATTCTTAATCTCCGAGGACAGCGAAGAGGGGACAGAACAAATTGTCCAGCGCAGATACCCTGCTCTTGGCCAGCTGGGGTACCGAGCATCTGGGGTGTCTTGTCTGCTTGGTGAGAATGTCCCGGTTGACAAGGAAGAGTGGCCATCACATCACCATGATTCCTAGCCTCTGGGTCCTAGAGATATCGTGACCTGCCAATCAGGGGATAATCCTTCCCATCTCTTGCAGCTAGCATCTTAGAAAGGAGGAGACTTACCAGTGGATGCCATGCTGATCAACAAGAGGCAGGGGTGGGCAGAGTTTTTTGAACAGTAAATAAACCTTCAGAAACCTTTTAACACTGAGCAGACATCCTCTGATACCAGGGGTGGGGAGAAGACAGGAACATCCCTAAGATCTAGATGTGGTCACCCACGGGTCAGGCCAGAGTGAGGGGCTGCCTTCCAGAGCACAGTGATCCAACCTTCCCGACATCTAGAGAAACTGAACATGTCTCATCCCAAAGGACATATACCAGCTGTGTGAGCACCTGAGAGTTTTCCTTGATTATGTGTTTATAAGGTGTCCCCAAAGCCAAATTTTCTGCCACGGAGAAAAGGAGGGAAGCGAGTGGACAATCAAGAGACATACAGACAACATGCTGCTGGGGGAATCATCACCCCCTGCCCCAGTGCCACCCCTTCTGGGCTGCTGCTCACATGTCTGCCCCCTTTCCAGACCAGCCATCTCCCCTTTCCCAGTGAACACCCACCTCCAAGTCAGCCACCACATTACTGGGATGTAAGCCAGACCCCAGACATTTCGGATTTACCCAGCATGCCCCTCTCCTAAGATGTCAGCCTCAATCCAAGAACTGTGCGGCAGAGCTTTCTAGTTTGAACAGAAATGGGACCCACCACCATAACTCTGAGCCAGGAAGGGAACTGTGGTTCTGGGTGGTGACTGGCTGAGGAAGGGGGGAGCCCAGGAGGAAACAAAGCGAAAACTAGATCCCCAGAGAATTTGCTGTTCCAAAGAGTTACTGGAGCTGGCAGGCTTGGACTTGGGTCAAAGAAAGTCCTGTTTCCTGGGTGGCCTACACTCAAGATGCTAGATGAAAAGGCATGGTTGGAGGCTGAGAAGATGTAATGGTATCCAGAAGGCTCAGTGCCAAGGAGGGAATTTCAACCATACATGGAGAGTGAAAGCCCACCCACGGGGCCTCCCTGGGGGTCCAGTGGCTGAGACTCCACGGTCCCGATGCAGCGAACCCCGGTTCGATCCCTGGTGAGGGAACTAGATTCCACATGCCACAACTAAAGATCCCATGTGTTGTAACTAAGACTTGGCACAGCCAAATAAATAATTTTTTTTAAAGCCCACCCATGAGGAGGGATGGTCAAGCACCAAGGTGGTATAAAGAACTGGGAAAATCCAACCACAGGAGGTCACAGCTCAGGACCCTGACTGAAGGCCCAAGATCATGGGCACAGGTCCACCAAGCCCTGGAGCCGCCTGCCAGGGTCAGAGCCTCTCACTCCTGTCCATTAGAGAAGATTCCCTGGGAACTTCCCTGGTGGTCCAGTAGCTGAGACTCTGTGCTCTGAATGCAGGGAGCCCAGGTTCAATCCCTGGTTGGGGAACTAGATCCTATATGCCACAACTAAGACCCAGTGCAGTCAAATAAATAAATGAAATTTTTTTTGGGGGGGGGGGTTACAAAAAGAAGATTCCCTGAAGGATACCTAGTTTCTCCTCTCCAGCCCTGGTTGAAGTGTCTGGAAGGGCTTTAGGGATCAGTGATGCTACCCAGCTGACTATCCACTTATTTTATTTATCCCGAATGACAGATTCATAGAGTCTCTGGACTTCCCTGGTGGCTCAGTGGTACAGAATCCACCTGCGATGCAGAAGACGTGGGTTCGATCCCTGGGTGGGGAAGATCCCCTGGAAAAGAAAATGGCAACCCACTCCAGTATTCTTGCCTGAAGAATTCCATGGACAGAGGAGCCAGCCTGGCAGGCCAAAGACCATGGAGTTGCAAAAGAGTCAGATATGACTTAGCCACCAAACAACAACACCACTAAACAACAACAACTCACAAGGTTATTGTGAGATCATGCAGTAAAGCCCTCTGAGCAGTACCTGACAGACAATAAGTGCTTGGTGAGTGTTAACTTCATTTTTCCACTTTTGAGGTTCCCAGGGGCTTGGCTGCCCTGTCCAGGAAGCCCCCGCACCGGCTGTCCACTCTCAGCCAAAAACACTGCCTCCATAAAGCTCACCCTGCACGTGTGTGAGACTCCAGCAAGTTCCTGAATTGTGTTGGGCTGAGGGGCTCAGCCATTGCTCATGGATGCTTCCAGCCAGATGCCTAGACCCCAGAGTCATGAATGGTGAGGGTCTGAGTCCCAGGTCCCTGCAGAAAAAGGTGTGGACCAAGCTGAGGTGTGTCTCCTTTGAGAAAGAACCCTTTGATCCTCCCTGGTTCCCTTGTCAGCTTGCTGCTCCTGCAGGAGTGGGTCAAGGTGGGAGAGTGGTTGCTAGCTTGGGTCCGCCCTTAGCGGGGTGATCCCTGCTCCCCACGGGCTGGGAGCATCTGGACGCGGCTGGGAACTCAGTGTGGCCTAGGTCCAGGCACATGGGAGCTCCCGGGGCAGGGCCACTGTGCACCCTTCAGAGTGCAGAGTCCAGAGCAGACAGAATGATTCAAGAATAAAATCAAGGTGTCAGGGATTAGCAAGCATCTAGGGAGCCAGACAGGTGAGCTCCTGAAAAGTGATCGAAAGAGGCTTCAGGCAGCATCACTGGCAGGGAGGACCACCCACCTGCACACCCAGGACACACCCACACACCCACTCTTCATCATAGACACTGCCCTCATGTGCCTTCCCAGATAAGCTCTCCACAGTAACTTACATCACACCCCATTCTGCACAATACCCATCCATTTATCTATTTA